GCCTGGGCTTTAGCTGACCTAAGATCTCTCATGTCCTGCTTAAACTGTGCCTAAGGGCAACAGACAGCAGCAAAATGTGGAATAAGTGGCTAGTAAGAGGGAACAGGTTTGCTGTCTAGACGTTCAGCAACCAGGTCACTTCATTACAGCATCCAAAGGCCAGGGCTGTGACACGTTAGCTCTAACCTTGAATAACTTTACAACACTTTGACACATCAAAACACTTCAAATTGAAAATAAAAGCAAAGTAGCTGAACCTTCTGCCATTTAAGTGATGTGATTCTCTGCACTATATATGGAGATTAGTATATATTGTCTAACCACTAGAACATACAGACTGCTGGCTGGTGCTTTTTTGTGAACATTTTCCCAGGAAGAATACGGGAATTTAATTTCTGTTTTTGTGTTTTTGTGTTCTTTTTCCAGCAGCACTGCTGTATCTGATCCACTCGTACCAGCGCAACACACACTAACACACGCCCACCGCATTAGTGTGACTGCAGTGCTGAGAATGATCAGCCACCCAAATAATACCTGCTCTGTGGTGGTCCTTTGGGGGTCCTGACCATTGAAGAACAGGGTGAAAGGGGGCTAACAAAGTATACAGAGAAACAGATGGACTACAGTCTATTACTGCAGAACTACTAAGTGAACCCATGTGACAAGTGGAGCTGATAAAACGGACAATGAGAGTGGATACAAGGAGGTGTACTTAATGAAGTGAACAGTTAGTGCATGTTTTTAATGTGAGATGAACTATTGTCTAGAACCTCATTCCCCATCAGATTACAACTCATTCCACAGTTGAGCACATAGATTTTCCTAATTTCCAAATGCCCATTCATGGTTTGTTATTAATGGTTGTCACACCTCCCTCCGGCCCAGCTGAAACCATGACTCAGGACTCTAACCGATCCACCTATCAACGCTCTGCATTACCGGACTTCTAATCACTCATACCTGTTTTCCCCTGTATATAGTCTGCTTGTTTGTAAGGACTCTTTGTGAAGTATCATCTCCCTGTTGAGCACACCGAGCAATACTTTGATGTCTGTTTTCTCCTTTTTGTGTATGACCTGTACCTCATTTATGACCTCCACTGTTGTCTTGCCGTTTGGCTTAGTTTTGGATTTCTGGTTTTCGACTAAGCTTTTGGATCAACCCTTTGATCCAAGTGAGTTCTTAGCTCAAGCCTCTTCTGTTAGCGGCTGGTTCCGTCTGTCACCAATGTAACTGTTGCAAAGTTTAAAGCTGGTCTTTGATCTCTCTGCACTCGTCTTTACGTCAATACTGTCTCGTAAAAAAATACTCTCTGTTAACGATTTAAAGCCTGCTAACACAAAAAGCAGCTATTTTTTCCATTTAATCTACTCTTCTGCTTTAATAACATGATTGACTGTTGCTGTATGCTGAACTCGATTTAACAAAGCTGAACATTTTTTTATATTATGCTTGTCACAGACTATCATTTAGAACAATAAAAACACATCAACAATAACACACTTCACAGTCACATTTTATCATTGCTCCGATTAAATGTTATTTTTTTATTCATTATTTTTTACAAATGTTCATATCATCCTGTAATATACACTCATGGGCAAAAATAATGGTTTTGGCCTGGTCAGAGTCCAGATTTAAACCCTATAGAGAATATTTGGTCTCATATTAAACACAAACTAGCTCAGCAATAGGGAAAAGCTATGCCATATTATGTTGCTGTATTTGTTTAATGATTTGTTTGAATGTATTTGTTGTTAAGACCATTAAATTGTCTTGCCATTTTGGGCTTAGCCCGTTTTTTGTGCCCAGGAGTGTACAGTTAAGCCCCAAATTATTCATACGTAGGTCAAATTTAGAGTTGTAGTGATTTTTTATTTGTCCAATAGGTTTCTCCTGGCTGGCAATGACATAAACAAATTCAGGTCTGGACTCTGGCTGGGCTACTCCAAAATGTTCATACTGTTTTCTGTTAACCATTTCTTGACAACTTTGGCTGAATGTTTCGGATCATTGTCTTGTTGGAAGGTCCAGTGCTGCCCACGGCCAAGTTTTTCTGCAGACTGCCTAATGTTATCCTCCAGAATCTTAATGTAGTTTTCTTTAGTCATGAAGCCATTTACTTTAACAAGGTTTCCTGGTCCATTGTCTGAAAAACACCCCTAAAGCATTACATTCCCACCACCATCTTTGACCATGGGGATGGAGCTTTTGGGGTTGAATGCGTTTCCTTTGTTTCACCCAAAGAAAGCCATGTTCCTGTGTCCAAGCAACTCCATTTTAATCCCATCCAACCACAAAATTGACGACCAAAAGTCATTCTTTCCCGAAAGTCAAAAGCTTTCTTCTTTGTCCAAGTGACCTTTTGCAAAGGCCAGGCAAGCTTTTCTGTGCCTGACTTGGAGAAGTGGAATCCTTCTTGGTCAGGGTCCATGAAGACCAGCCTTGTGCGTTGTCCATTGTAGTGTCTGTCTTGAGATGCTGGTACCAGAATTGCTTAGATTCATGAGAATGGCCTTGGTGGTGATCCTTGGATTCTTCTTGGCCTCTCACGCTACAATTCATGCCAGCACAGGGGTCACTTTTGGCTTCCTACCATGCCCTTTGAGATTTTTCACAGTGTAACACAGTGTTCAACTCATTGTATTTTTTGAATATGTTTTGTAGTATGGTCACTGGCACTTGAAAACACTTGGATATGGCTTTATAGCCTTTTCCCCGTCTTGTGAGCAGCCACAATGCACAACTGGAGGTCCTCACTAAGCTTTCTGGTTTTAGCCATGACTTGCAATTGACTTAGAACGCACTAGAACATGGCAGAAATTACCAGCACTATTTGGGATGGTACAGGAACTTGGATTTTCTCAAATATTTGTGACAATTTCAAGGGATATGAATAACTTTGGACACAGTATTTTTAGTAAAATTGTAAAAAAAATACAGAAATAGTTCAAATTTATCTCATCTCTAGCATAATGTCTTACCATCTTTTGTAACTTGTTTATGTCATTTTCAGCCAGAAGAAACCTATTGGTCAAATATAAATTCACTATAAATTTAAATTTGACATGGGTATGAATAATTTTGGGCTTAACTGTACCTAAATATTACGTCTCCTCAGACCTGCATTTGTATAGATATTCATATATGTATATGTGCAGACATTCACACCTCTTTAGCTCCTTTCAGCAGTTTCAAAGCTTCATCTGAAAAGACCTCTGAGTAAACAGAACTGAGGGGTAGTTGATCGTTTTTAGTTCTCACACACATGAAGCTCAGTGCTAGGTACTCACTGCTGTGTTTTCTTTGTTTCAGTTTATGCTCGGCTTGAGAAACAATTGCTGTTTTATGTGCAGATGGCCTCAGTCTCAAGATCTTTCCTTTTGAAAGACCTTTTAACCATTTATCCATAAAGCTTGACTTCCAAAAGTGAAACATTTTACACTGACTTGCTCTGAAAATATAAACATAACCAGCTGGTACTTTGCCAGAACAATTAATGAGCTCGAAATAAATATGATGTCTTAGTGTTGGTTAAATTTACTATTGGTTAAATGTCTATACAGTAATGATTTCTGTATTTTTCAAAGAAAGAAAAAACAAATTGATGGCCAACAGCCCCCTAGCAGTACCACAAAACCCACCAGGGGGCGACTGCTTTGTTCTATTTGCTCTATTTTGATTTGTCCCTTCATTAAATATTTGTTTGCAGGCTGTGTGCTTTTCTAATCTGTTCAGTGTGTTATGCGCACTCACCAAGACAAATTCCTTTTATGTGTAACATACTTAGCTAAATAAAGTGATTCTGATCTGATTCTTTAAATATTTCCATTTGGAATACATGGAAAGTTCCCAGCTTGTTAGCATCATTTCATGGGGGGAGGTCCAGCTAATGAACTGGCAGTGACTAAATTGAGATAACAAAAGTATAGCACTGCTACTACTGTTCTGGCTATGTAATTACTGTCAAAAAATCTAAATATATGATATCTGATATCTTAAGGGTTAAGCTGGGCACATCGGCTGCAACTCAGAGGACAGAACAAAAGCAGAGATTGAATGATGCTGACACTTGTTTTCTTGTTCCGAGGCGACTCCGACAGACTGTCAGGATTATGCGAGTAAGAGTGTTTTTATGTCAGCTTACCCTGAGCAGAGGTTTAAAGATGAGAGGTGGCACAAGCGCTAAAACCTCTTGCACTCCATCGCTCTCTCCCCCCCCCCAACCACCCTCTAATGTACCTTCTCTAGCAGGTGCCCATATCTCTCAGCTGAGTGGATGGATGGAGTTGTATCTTTTTCCGCTCCGCGTCCCCGTAAATGTGGTGCAGTGAGCTGGGGATGTTACTATAGAAACCAGCCGGCACCTGAAAGGCTCTCGGACCCGGAGAAGAAGGCTTTTCATATGAGCATCCAGCCAGACGCAAGCGTGCACACACACTGTGCTCCGAGAGTGTGAACAGAAATTGAGTTTGCCGAGCCAGGACACCGCGAGTAATTCTGGCTTCGTAAAAATTTAGCCATTATGAAAATAGCAGCCGCTCGCAAATCTTTCTTTATTGCTTCGCAAGCTTTATCGTTTATCATTTACAATTACATCTAACAAACTGGCCAGTCTGCACTAATTTAAAATCCCCAGCAGTGCACCATCCACGAGCAAGCGCCGGCATATTAATGCTGTAATTATCGTCGTTTCAATTTAAATCAATTTGCCGTTCCATTGTCACACTTGAGGGCATCTTCAAATAGACTCCACAGACAGTTTCCTACTGCATGCACACACAAAGACAAATGTAAATACACACGAGTGTGCTGCACCTTTTCTACACTGGTGGCCCTGAGTGGCTTATGCACAGTTACAATGTCAAAAAGGCTCAATAATTGAGCTTCCATCCCTTTCCTATTGGATCAGGTGATAAACGCAGCCTATTATCTTTGATGAAATGAGATGAATTGGAACGTTCATGTTAATGAGCTCAATGCATTCATTTAGTACTTACCAGGTTTGCCAATATGTAGTGATAGCTCTTCACATTCTTTCCCAGTTCCACAATCTAGAAGAGAGAACAGGGAGAAACAAAGGCTTTTTCAAAAGGTAGTCATTACAGGCAGTTAACAGTAGTTAAGAGCAATTAACAAACGGCATTAATGGTTGTACAAAGTAATACAATCAAAGCAGTGACTAATCAGACACCCAGCAGCTTGGACCACTTTGTGTCCTCAACAATTCAGTGTACCGCCAAATCAGATTTAAAGGAACAAGCAAAAGACACCAGTTATCACCAGCAATAGCAAAAGGGAGGATATAATTCATTACTATTAATTCTTGCAGCTCACTGAAACACGTGGAGCGGATTTGACTCAAAGATATTGCTGTGCATACAGTCTTATTTTGCATTTCAGTAGTAAAGCAAAAACGACAGCAACAACTTCTGAGTGTTAAAGCCCACCCTTTTAAAATAGTAGAGCCATGTCTTCACAATATTTTCAATTTTTGAACATTCTATTGTATATCATTTTGAATACTTGAAAATTCTGCACAAATAAAAAGCTGGTTCTTCAAAGGCAATGGTTCTATTTACAACCATAGGTTCTAGATAGAATGCTTAAATGGCTCTTTGCATGGTGAAAACGTTCTTTAGATTGATCGAGAAAGCACCAAAAAAGGGTTCTGCTATTATTACAATGTCAAACTTATAACAATAGAAGAGCCCTTTTTGGTTCCCTCACTGTCCACTCTGTGAGACACACCTACCTAGTAAGTGCACCTTGTAAATATAAAGTCAGAGACAGTAGCTCATCTATTGCTCAGTGGACACAGGACGCTGCCCACAGGACACTGCTGGCTGAATATTACTGAGGTGTTGAAAAACTTCAGTCTGATACACTTGTACCAGCACAGCACACTGACATGCAACTACAATGCCAGTGTCACTGCAGTGCTGAGAATGATCCACCACCCAAATAATACCTGCTCTGTGGTGGTCCTGTGGGGGTTCTGACCACCGAAGAACAGGGTGAAAGGGGGCTAACAAAGTATGCAGAGAAACAGATGGACTACAGTCTAAAATTGTAGAACTACAAAGTGCACCTATATGATAAGTGGAGCTAATAAAATGGACAGAGAGTGAGTGTAGAAACAAGGAGGTGCCCTTAATGAAGCAGACAGTCGGTGTAGACATAGTTAGACTGTATAAGTCAATCATCAATCAACGTCACTTATCAATCTTGAACAATTCTCAACCCTTGAATTCCTCCTTCATCTAACTGTTAACGTGTGATGAAATGATGAGAGTAATCTATGGTATAGGGAGACAGCTTTCTGTTTATTCCCACTTTCTAAAGATTTCTCAGCTGGCTCAGCCCTTCGGCCTCTTTGCCCTCATGACGTCAGAAAATCAGGGTGCTGTTAAAGTTCACACCATTTTGTTTTTTAATGCTTTTTTTTACTATAGCCATGAACCACGAAACACACCGTGACTATATTTAATCCATCAGGATGCTTTATTGACTAGTGGTGTTCAAATGGTAGTATGAACACCACTCCAATAGTATGGTATGTCAATAATATGGCAGCGGCAACAAGTATGATGTCAATCGAGTACTATCCTACTGTGATTCAATTAGAAATACGTCATGGCATGTGAGGAAAATGCGTTATGATTTCCAACTCACTTTAAAGTTAAGGCTAGTTTGCTTGTCATAGCTTTCCCTCTGACTTCACTCACATGAACTTCAACCAAATTCCTGCAAATTATTGGTGAGATTGTCTAATGTAGCAGCACAGTTATTTTACATGCTGAGAGCACCTCTGAATCCACAGATCTCAGATCAGAAATCAGATATGAGCACTCCTTCCAAACATCCCAAAGCCTGAGGTTCAACTGCTCTGGGTTGGAGTGGGAGGAGCAGTAGGTAGAGTAATATGTTGTTTGAGTTTGGATAGACAATAACATCCTCGCTCATGGGAAGCCATAATGACTGCGCTGCAATCCAAACAGAAACAAAACAGCACTACAAGGTAGGAGTGGTCGCTCAGCATCAGACCAACAGCCCGAGTTGATCACAAATATAAACCTTCTACCATTTCGTGAACTGTACCCATGTTTATTTGTTCTCGGTCAAGTGGTCCCTGACCATTCCAGATGATTATTTCTTCTTTTGAAGTGCTGCTTGAAGTCTTTCTTCCATTTTATTGAGTGCAACAGCTAGTCATTTTCTTTAATTCTACATAGCAGAAGGGCTGGGCGATAGTCTGCGGTAATCAGATGTCAGCAATGATCAAGTAAGCTGCTTCAAAGGTGATAATTACCCTGTTGAGAAAGAGAACTGACAGGGAACTAGATAGGACTACATTCATTTTAAACAGTTTGCTAAATAAAAGGGTGTAATGATACACTCAGCCCACGATTCAGTTTGATTCACAGGTTCACGATTCTGTACTATCAGAATATTTTTAAAAAAATTAACTGAAGAAGCCTGATGACTACTGCATCGCAAACGGTCACTCTGCTGTTGATTTATCCATTTTGCATTTTCATTTTGTCAGATATGCAGCCTATTGCTATGAAAAAGATATAATAACATAAACATTGCAGTTTGATTTTAGTTTTGACACGTATTATGCATTTCATGCAAAAAAGGCAAAGCCAAAGTGAAGCTTGTGTTTTCTTTTCTCTATTAGCTTTCTATTTTAGATATGGCCATGAAATACCAGAATAAGGACTAAAATTATTTGACAAATAGCTGTTTTAAATTTATTCATACTTTTTTTCACAAATGACTTGTGCTTATGTGAAAAATTACATTGCAAATGTAGATATTTCATTTCATATCTGTGCAGATTATTTTAAAGAAATGGCAAAAGGAGGTTTGCATTTACAGTTTATTGTTTTAATTATAGTTTCTTTTTTGGCCGGATTTGCCTCCCACATATAATCATGTTGTTGCACAACCTAGACATGACACTAGAGCTGGGAGGCAGGAGGAGTGCTGGAGCGAGTTGTTGTTGCTGCTGACTGTTTACAGATTTTGGTGTTCAAACAATAAAAGTGCATTAGATGTAATAATTAATGAAAAAAAGTCCATTCAACCGTCATATGTATTGTCACATTTCCATAAGGCACATTGTCATTTTTTTACACTGTGATGTCCCAATACACTGCTACACCCCTACTAAATAATATTAAAGTCAATGTGAATTGGAAATCAGAAGACATTTTTCTTCCTTGATGTGACGTATTTCCTGGTGAAACAGGATATTCAGGTGGGAAATAACTGTGGGCTGGACATGTTTTTTTTCTTCAGGATTTGATTGGAGTGTGTGTATTCCAAAATAAACACAGAGTCAAACACTGACAGTCAATCTGTCTGTTCTGCAGAAAAGCCAAAGAAAAAAAACTGATTTTATCAAAAAATTATGCAATATGTATTTTTAAATATATTCTAAATTATAGACATGGTGAAATGCTGTTAGCATGTTAGCTTTTTAGCATCCACATTGCTTTCACTTTTCTTACATTTTTACAGCAAAAGCAAAAGACTTCAGGAAAAAGAGGTCAGGTTATCGTTAAACCCATGTACGAGTGCAACTACCTAATGCGCAAGAGCAAGAGACGGACTGTGTGAACAGTCAAACACTGGTAGATATTTGAACTACCTTACTCGTGTTAAAGATGCCACAGAACGGAAAACTGTATTTACACTGGCATAGCCAATAAGGAGGGCTCAGTACGTCAAACTGACATACCTCAAACACTGCTGTCTCCTCCTTCAAATGCAAATCCCGCTTTTGCAAAAGAGGGGGGTAAAACTGGCCACTTCCAAAATCCTAAACTGTTATTAACAGCCTTGACTCAGTAATATTTATGTGGCCAAAATTTGCAGACACCAGCCCATATTGTAGTCCAGCGAAACGACAACGGAGCAAAAAAAAATGAAAATTGTAGAAGAAATGTACGTTACAGGCTGTGAAGGGGATGTTGGCACTTTTCATAACTGTCAGTGGGCATGGCTGATGTTCATCCTTAAACGAAGTCGGATTCCTATTGACCATCTTTTTGATTGAATGTTCCGTTCTACCTTAAATTCTACAGTTTGTACAGGCGCCAGAATGTAACTGCGGCACCATTTAAGGTGGAACGGAAAATTCGCAAAACAAGCTGGCGAATAGGTAGACAGCTCTCACACCTTTAACAAGATCCTGGACAACTTTAATTCAAAGCTGTTAGCAGCCGGTTGACATTAAACATTAAACATTATTCATTGCATAACTCAATGTATTTAAATATGAAATAACCTAATTACATTTAAACAACATAGTAAAATGGATGTAATAACTCTTGACTTCTAATTGTTATTTCAACGCAGGAGTATAATTTGCCATTACAGAGCAGGGTTGTAATGACTGAAGAATTCTCATTGGTTAGCTGCAGAGAAACAGCAGTGTTAACAAAGCCTGAGCTCACACAGTGACAGCAACAGAGCTGAAAACAGTGAGTCATGCAATGATGGAGGAGGAACACATTAACACTCCAAATCTTTCAATCTGCCCTGCCTCAGCTCCACTCACTCCTTTCTGAGCAATGCAGAACAGAGCCATGATCTGAGTGAATATGTGTGAGTGCATGTGTGTGTGGGTATGGGTGTAGGTGTGTTGATGTGTGTGCGCATGTGTGATGCACATTTTCAGGACAAACATCTTGGCTTTGTAGGAAAAGCAGAGAAAAACAGCGCCAGCCTGCGTTGACAAGACCAACAAAATGTATCTGACTTTGGTGACTCTTTTTGGTGAGGTTAATTTGGTAAAATTTGGTAAAAGTTTATTTGAAGGCTACCTACACAGGAAGGTCATAACACCTGCCATAAGCACTGAATAATGTATTTATAAAGTATTACCAGATCAAGTATAAATAGTTTTGTTGCAAGAGGAAGTACAACGTTTTATAAAGTAAATGACATTGTATTGATATAAGGGAGCTTAAACTAAAGTTTATAACAATTTATAACAATCTTAAAGCATCATTCCCAAGAAAAGGAGCTTATAAAGCGGAGGCCGAGTTAAGAACATCACACCTCAGTTCTATATGTTTCTACTTAAAGTTCCAAAGTAATACTTCTATTAAGGAGATTTGAGTGGGTTTAGACAGGAAACATCCACATTTACTCAAGTAAAATTGTACCAGGTATATTTCTGCTTTTACTTAAGTACTTGATTCTTGTTCAGAAATATACATATTCATATATATATATATGGGAAAATGAACCTATCCAAGAAACTAGGCATGTGGCTTAAATTCTAATACTTGGGAATAAGGTTTCGTAACAGTGTTATAAATGGCATAAACACACATCACATCAGTTTAAGTTCAGTTCAATGTAATGTCGATCTAGACATTGTGTGATTACTTGCATAAGCCATTTATAATTATTCAAGTATTGTTTTAGAACATTACTCAATGTGTCATTCAGTACCTATAGAGGTAACCTTCAAATGAAGTGTTTTTTATAGAACTCTTATTACATATAGGTACTTACATACATATTATCCATATTGTTGCTGTACTACATGTCGTCACTGTCAGAACAAAACCTTGGATCTCCAAAATGGCAAAAACATTCTTTACTTTTGATGTAAGTTAAGGTAAAGAGATTTTATTCCAAGCAATTTTGGAGCATTTCTTTTGACCTGTTCATCACAAAACTGTCACAATGAATATCTTTTAATCAAAGTTTAATTAAAGTAGTTGCTTGTGTGAATGTTAGTGTCTGTTTGAAATAGAACATGTAGTGTAGTGTGATACATTTGGGAACAGTTTTCGTTGGCAGGACAGTTGTACACTGGAATGATGGAAGAGTTAAAGTTGCAGTAGAGCGCACAAAAGTAAAGAGTGGACAAATCAAATACTAACACATTTGATATTACACTGTATATTATACAGTATGCTGTATACACAATATAGTGTTGGAGGCTTTAGTGTTTTGTGCTCCTCTGTTAAATGCACTTTTTTTTGCTTTTTTCTAACACTGGAAAATGAATAACTTGAACTCAATGGCTGTTTTGACTGTAAACTGAACAAACAAAAGGGTGATCTCTGAGTTTTGCCCAGTACTGTAAGTGTATGAGAAAGACAGAATGTGTGTTTGTGTGTGTGTGTGTGTGCTGTTTGTATGTGTAAGTCAGCTCCAGCACATTGTTGTGTTTTAGCTGATGCAGTGAGCAGACATTAGCTCGCGGGTGTGACAGACAGTGGCATAAGTTATTAACACTGACCCCCAAATACAGACTTCCCCAGCAGGCCAGCTCCAGGCCAGGAAAATAAATGGCTGAGACCCAACATGCCCTCCTCATGTGATAAACACACACACGCACACACACCAGTGAAACAGAGTGGAAAAGAAGCTCTTCTAAAGCGACCTCATCGGAGCGGCCTTCCCGCTTTAAAAATGTCCTTAAAAAGTTGCTTACAGAAACTGGCAGCCACTGTTGTGTAACCACATAAAGAGCTATCCTCAAACGACTCAGCTAAAAGAGAAAAAACAACAAATAAACAAACAAAAACACTATCATAAGAAAAAATGGCCTTCATGTTGTTTTCTAGCACAGTAGATTGGTGAACGCGGCGTGATGGATGATAACTGGGAGAGCTCGTTGGGAAAAGAAGCTGCCACAAATCGGTGCAATAAGCTTAACTGAAGATAGCGGGTCATCAATAACCAGGCAGAGGGCAGTGATTATATTCACAGACTGATCCAGAGAAGAAAAAGAAGAGGAAGAGGTAGTAGAACCTCAAAAGGTGAGTACTCAGTAACCCTTAGAGGAATAGAGTTACTACTGTTTTTTTGCTATACATTAATTCTAATTACAAACTTGTATACAATAGCCGATTAACCATTAACTGAAGAATAAAGCATTATTCAACCATTGCCCGGTTAAATTTAATTCATTTAATTTCATTTCCAATTAACAACAGTTTCCAATAAACAACTGTTGGGTTCATCATTCAAATTGAGGGATGTTTTTGAATAGGTACTGATAGATAGGGCTGCTAAGAAATGAAGCAAAAATACTGAAAATAATGCTGTGTGGGACCACTTTTCAAGGAGATGTACAACTACAAGTATGTACCATATTAAAGCATCCATCCACAAATGATAACTATTTCATCATCGTTCCCTGAGTGAAAGTGTGATGCCCAGCAGTGTGAGGAAACACACACACACAGGTGTGCAAAATTAAGGACAAAGTGGACAGCGACAGCTTTCAAGAACAACTTTTTCATTTTTCATTTTTTGACATAATCTGAATATCAGCTGCTCTCAATGTTATGTGAAAATTTCATGATGAGCAGACCAACAGAAATAATGCAAAATTACTTAAAATCTTTTTACAATGACTTCCGTTAAAAGTTTAGGAAGCTTTTTCCTTGTCCTGTAAAATTAGCATTTTTGGAGATGCAGGGTGTTTGTCCTCAAACACCGCCAGTAAAACTAGCAATTAACAGATGAGAGTAATCAGGCATGTTTGAGTAGGTAAATTGTCAAACTGTGCTGGACATCAGCCCTCCAGAACCTGAGTTAGGCACCCCTGATATAGAGCTTTCAGTAGCCCAACAGTTTTAAGTTTTTGCTCATATAATCATGAACAAGTACAGTCATATGCAAAAGTTTGGATGCCCTGATTATGACACGTTTTGGCGATTTTCAAAGTGAAAATTCGTACACATCCTCTGCAGAGAGCACATTTCTGCACATCATTACTGTTTTCTGAACTTAATCTACTATAAAAATAACGTGGCCTCTGCAAGTTATTTTGTAGCTTTTATTTTTTTTCCAATTGATTTAACTCAGCAAATAAATTAAAATTGTGAACTAATAAAAAAATAGAAAAAGAAACTAAAAAAATGCCATGTTTAGGTTTGTTCCCTGTAGCGGATGTTAACTTATTTTCACTTAGAAAACCAACAAAACATTTAATCTGACCCGGGTTGTTCACACAACTAGTTGTCAGCCCTTGGTTTAAACAAATCAGCAGTTTTATGTAGAGTATGTTAAATATGTTTTTGTCTGGTTTACTTCATATACACGCTTATGCCTTGTCCCACCTGTCAGTACTACATTCCACTGTCCATAAAAGGAATACTGTTTAATATCTCTGTGCATTAATACAGAGTGTATGTGAAGCATTTTACAATGGCTTTGAACGCAGCTCAGCCTGTCAGATTTCAGAAATATACTCGATATTATAAAAGATATTTAAAAGTGTGGTGTCCTTGTTTTCAATCTTGCTGGTTAACGATTAATTGGTGACTAATGATGGTCGATTATTGGTCAAAATGTGCATCTCTAATAATTGCATATTTACAATATTAGTTATGTACTGAATCACATTTCCATTCTGCATTGACAGGCTTGAGTCACTACTGACTTTCTACATTTTTTCAACATCAAAGAATGCATTAAAACATGTCAAACATGTAAAGGATGCTTTTTCATTCCACAAAACAAGCCTATAAGAGTGACTATAATGTTGCATCATATTAAAATAAACATAGAACATCTTATCTTCTACTTAAAAACACACATTTGGTATAGATTGAAAGTTTAGAATCCAGACTTTTGCCTGAATTCCTCCACCTGTATCAATGAGTTAGAGGTGAGCAATAATTAAACAAAATGTAAGAAGAGGTGCGTGAAGGAGTATACACCATGCAGGACCTAGCAGAGTTAATTCTGATTGCACGAGGCTCCCCTCTCTTCTCTGAGGAGGGTAGAAGTGACAGGGAGAATGCCTCATTGCTGCTACCAGCTCTGAATGTTGGCGTGTTATTTATCTCCCCCTGTCCTTGACGCTTTGTGTGAGTGAGCAGTCTGCCCTCGATGTGATAACCGCAGCCACAGGCTCCGTCTGAACGCTCTGGATTGCGTTTTAAAGTTGAGTCACCCAGGCCTGCCGGTGCAGGAGGAGATATTTTCATAGTCCGCCACTTGGCACAAGCAGCGGGTGACTAACGCACTAGATGTGTCCCTTAGAATATGTGTTGAGGCTGTTTTTAGGAAGTGACCTTTACCAGACTAGTTGTGAGAAGGAGAGAACACTGAAGAAACCCTGCAATTACAACCAGAGCAGGATTTTTCCCCAAGCGAAGGGAGAAGCTGAACGGCTGGTTACCTTCTTCAGGATGGAGGCGAGGCGCTCCAGTTCACAATCGATGATGATCTGGCCCTCCTTCCTCTTGTCCAGGTCCTGGAAGACTTTGAGGAAAGACGCTTCGGTCATGGTCTCCACGTTCACTGAGGTCACCAGCCAGTTCCGCTCGGCCGCTGTGTCCAGAACCTTTTGCAGAACCGTCAGTCCTGCAACAAGGGCAAGAGACAAATGTGCATAGTGAAAAACGTGGCATGACATTTTGGGATGCTTTCTGGACGTGTTTTACAAATACCACGACTACCACCTTAAGGTCAGAAAAAGGCAGCTGTAAAAAACGCTCGTGACTGTGTAGACTTTTTCATTGCCTGTTTACAGTTTAAAGCAATAGTTCAGTGAAAAATCATCTTTGCACTATTTTCACATTGCTGCAAATGCAGGTTATCAGCCAAGACATGTTTGGTGTTTGAGTTACGTGACTAGGAAATGGTGCACTAAAATAAAAATCCTTGACCAACACCAGAACCGAAATTCAGGACACACTTGCAGGGACACCTGATGCCCCTGGGCAGTACAGTCATGGTGCCCCACCCCCACCGACTTATAATACTTAATTCTTAATACTTAATAATATAATCTAAGACAAGTCATGAGACCAAATGTACTAAAATACTGAGCCAAGAACATAACGTAGCAAGAAACAACACAGGTGTTCAAAAAATATTCAATATGTAATAAGTAGCCTAGTCCTCTTAATAAAAGATGTGTGTCTTTACATCATTTTAACCCAACAAAGCAAGGTAATTGTGAACAAATGACCAAAGTGTCCAGCATAAACAGAATAAGGGGTCTCAATCAAAGCATTTTTTGTAGTGACTCAAATAAATTTGGGAATGCGATGTCCTATTCATTCTTTATAAATGTCTAAACTGAAATAAAGTTAGCTGTTTGGCTAAAAACTTTTTATGTATGTATGTATTTTTTTATTTACTTCAGGAAATATTTGGTGCTGCCATCAATTTGGTGTTCCTGGGCATCTGCCCACATGGTAGATTCCGAAAGCCGAAACTACAAAAACATTTTTTTTTTATTTGTCTTTATTTATGCTTTTGAGATCAACAATAAAAAACCTTTTTACCATGTGACGTATAACTACATGAAGAAGGGGAGATGCATGTGGGTTCACAATATTAACCTACTCACAGGATTTCTATCACCCTGACAAAAAGATAAACTGTGTTTGTTCTTTGTTAACTGGCCTAAACTGTAAATGTAGCAAGAACTGCTGCATTTTCTTACTGTTTCTGCCTAGAAACTGCTAGCATGCCACAGGTCAAAAATAGGCCAAATCTTTGTGCTTCTCACGTGATGCGCGTGGCTGGTGTGAGGGGCTACAGTGATTAACACAGGAGTAACACACGTACTGCTCGCAGCACAGTGCACCATGTGGCCTGTTACCGCGTCTGGTGTGAAATGAGCTTAAGTCATCATTTGCCTTAAGCTGCAGTCGCAATGGACTCTCACCTTACTGTTTTATTCACCAGGGTGGAGCAAAAGTCAGGCAATTATGGTAGTGAACAGCTAAGTTTGCGCGACAAGCAACATTATGTTGACTAAGGATCAGTTCTTCTATTTGTTTTTTTTTTTTCCCAGAAAGAAGATACAGCAGCTCGTCTTCAGCAACCAACAACCAACAGCCAACCACCTGCTGCTGAACCTCGCCCCTCCGTATCAATGGCTCTGTGGTTTCCACTGTGAGGCCACTCTACTTCCTGGGCACCACCATATGCAGGGACCTGAAGTGGGAGAGGAACATCGTCGTCCTAGCCAAGACAGCACAGCACAGAATGTTCTTGCTGAGACAGCAGAAGAAATTCTACCTGCCGTAGAGCCTGATGATCCAGTTCTACACAGCAATCATCAAGTCAATCACAGAATGACAAGGCAGTGGAAAGTACCATTAGATGGACTCTGCTTGATTTGTGGGTAACTAAGTGGAAGTACTTATTTTACATGTGTATTTGTATGAATAAATGCTGCAACTATTCCATGTTCCATGTTATTACACTGTGCTTTTGATTTGAATACTGACATCACCATAAAAGAAATTAAACACAGCTAGTGCAGAAGAGTCTCATACACAGCAATATTACAGCGTTGAAACATATAAATAATCACACTACACAATCACATCATTCTACCTTCTTTAAACAAATGAGTCGCTTTGTTTAGTGCACATTTTACTATTTCCAGATGTCGTAACTTTAACTCTTTAAAGTTTGGTCAGTAGGAGGGAACAGTACACTCACAGCTTGACCTCAAACTCTGCCTACAAGAACAGCCATGAGCTCAGTAGCGGCTGAATGCTGTCAGATTATTGGCTACCTACTGAAACATCTGCATGAATCAGGGTGTGTTTCAAGTAAATATGTAAATTAAGTGCTGGTATGATGGTTATATGAACTGAAGCTGATTCATCTTTTGTGCTCAAATTGACGCTTGGCCGCATCTGAAGGTTTTGTGACACACACACACACAAATGTGCAAACACACACACACACACATATACACACACACACAAATATATATATATATATATATATATATATATATATATGTATATACATACACTGTTTACATACTTCATACAATGAGAACATTTTCTACTGTGAAGACAGTACAGCACTCCTCAAAGCCGCTACACAGAACAGCAGAAGTGGACAGAGGGAGCGAGAGTCTGTTTAATTACTTGCAGGAAAGAGGGCCTGATTAGTGAGGCCATTGATTCTGGCATTAGATTTACGGGCAGAGAGAGGAGCCACATTCAGCCAGCACCAGACCAATCAGTTCTCTCTTGAGACTGGCCACAATTATTTCACACTGCTAACAATGCTCTCAGCAGCTGCAACACAGCTATTAAAGCACCGACTGATTAGCTGCTGATTACTATAAGAGCACAGGTACAGCTCTAAACAAATTTTTGACATGTAAGTAAGAACCGCTGAGCGATAATGCTGGCAGGGATAATTACTGTCCTCATTTCAACTCGTGTGTACAAAAACAACACTGCTCTCAAATCGAGAGCTTGGGACCATGCCATGCATGAAACAGAAGGACTAACAACTTCCATTGAGCTTCAGAAGGATAACACTGAAGCTCCAAATTTGTTTGTATAATCTGCTCGTGCCGGGTGAAGTCTGAAATTCAAAGCTTCACTTTAAGTCTTTTTTGTGAAGTAACTTTGGCAATATGGTATACAGTGTCTCAAAACCAGCGACAGCTTTCTCTTCAACTTTATGACAATTTTTTTTGCCCATCCCTAGGTTAGTGTTAAAGGGGAATTCCACCAATTTTTCAGAATTCTTTCATGATTAAATCACTAAGATGTAAACATGATGTGCTCAGAAAAGTGTATTGTGATTTGTCACAATAATGATAATGCTTCAACATATTGCCCACCCCTAGGTTGGTGTTATTTTTCATAATATCCTAATTATTAAATCATTAATGCAAACCAAGTCATTCAGAGTGGTTTGATGTGAAATGCGCTAATGCGTGCAGTGGTGATGATAAAAGTTTGCAGGCACCCCCTATAATTAGTGAACTCATCTACTTTTAGATGCACCCATTTCAAACACAGGTGTTAAACTGCTCACACACTGCTTGTATAATAGAAGAGCAGACGCACAATAGCCTAGGGTCACCATGCCCAGCACCAGCTAGAGAGCTATAATGCCACCTGGAAGGGGTTGTGGAGCAGAGGCACAGCGTTCTCTGAAGTGATGGAGCTCCATCCAGTATCTCTGGAATGCGTTAGCGTGGTGTTTGTGATTGTAAACTAATCATCCAACATCAGCACCTGACCACACTAATGCTGCTGTAGCTGAATACAGCCAAATCCTTACAGCAATGTTCCAACATCTAGTGTAAAGCCTTCCCAGAAGAGTAGAGGCTGTTACTGCAGCAAAGGAGGGACAAACTTCCTATCAGTACCCTTTTCAGAAGAAATGTTGAATGAGCAGGTTTCTAGAAACTGAACAAAGTGTAGGAACCAAAAGTGTCAGAACCATATATATATATACATATATATATATATATATATATATATATATATATATATATATATAGTTCTTATTGTATGTATATATATACATACACACACATGGATGAGTGACTAGACAGGTCAGCTGTGGATGACATATGGTGCTGGGTTACCACTATGACTTTACACGCACTCAGAGTACTTCAGCACCACGGTCAGCTCCCGCACTTCAGCCTGAGAAGCCCACTTTGCCCCTTCAGAAACAGCACTGTCTGTGTGTGATTCACAATTGAATTCATCCACAAGTCAAGAACCTACAAAAAGAAACAAACTCAGAGCCCCGCTAATATCCGCAGAGTCAACACAGCCGTCAACAAAGCAGCAAGAGGAAAGTTATCGCCTTTCTGCAAGCAGTTACGCTGCGGCTGAGTGAGGACTACAGGGAGACATTAATAAGCCTCAGTGGGCATTTATGGGGGGATTGTTTATGAAAGGTTTAATGGACTTTTCAAGATTGTTTTATGTTTGGAACGGCACCCAAAATAAAAGGAAACGTACTTGAATTTAACAGCCTTTGTTTAAAGCCAAACAGAAACAGCTGTTGCCAGAGCCAGCGTACAGGAAGAATAGACCTGCTATAATTTATTATACCCTTCAGTGTAAGCAGGAGTAAATGTCTCATTTATTGTTAGGGATATGCGATAAAAGGGACTACCATGCAGAGAGAGAATACTGTAGCCATGTTCTTTAAATACAGGCCTTAAGCTCACGACTACAGCCATAAAATAAAAAAAGAACAGTTAATCAACACCAGGCAGTCGTGAATGCATTTACTAAAAAAATATTACAAGCCCAAAGAAAATCTGGGTCGCAAATACAAAATAACACTCTAATAACACTCTAAAGAGCACTGCATTGAGAGGAGGAGAAAAGGAAACTGGAGTCAGACTGGAGTCTGTTTCCGATTTGAACTATTGGCAGTGTTCATTCTGTGGTCATGACATGGCTTAATCCTGCACAAGCACATAAAAACTGATGAGTTTATACACAGCCAATTTCAAACATGGAGTACATCCCATTCACAGCTGGTATTAAAGAGCTAAATGATCAGACACTAAGTGTGCTCGGACATTGAAGTGCAGGTGTATATGTTCGAATCATGGCAGA